GTACTTACTAAGTGCCAAACCGTGTGTAAGTGGGGTGAATCTGCAATGCCTAAGACACATGCCTGTCCTTGACGAAGGCAGCCAAGCAGGAAGGTTACAGATGACTAATAACCATGATGCAATGGCAAGGGCTCCCCCACCCTCGATCTAGACCTGCTCTTCTAGGGCACAGTCTGGCTAGACCAGATCTCAAAGGTAGAAGCAACAGGAGATCAAGTTCCTCTAGGGGCTACCACCCCACCCACCAGCAGCGTTCTCCCCTAGGAAGAAAGACACCTGACTTCTCTATCCCTAGCATCACACATCCAGTAATACTCATTTATACATGGTGAGGGAAAGGTGCACTGACAGCATCATAAATACTTACCATCAAGCTTCTACTGTGTATAAAGCATGGAAATATGAAAAAAATGGGGGGAAACAAAGAACAATTCAACAGCCAGTTCCTGCTATCCCAAAGTTTAAAAATTGAATTATAATTCCTAAAAATCAGAGGCATATTTAAAAAAAAGAAAGAAAAAACATTAGTTTAAGAATTAGACCCCTGGATCTTGGTCCTTCCTATGTGACCTTGGGCAGGATATCACCCCTTGTGGGACAGGTTCAAAGCATGCCTTACAGAATTGGTGCTGGCTAATGTCAATGTTCTTGATTTTTTTTTTTCCTTGAAAGTTTGGGCTTTCAGCCAAGCACAGTGGTGCATGTCTACATGGGGAGGCTGAGGCAGGAGGATCATGAGTTCAAGGTTAACCTTAGTAACTTACAGAGACCCTAAGCAACTCAGAGAGACTCTGTCTCTAAATAAAATATTTTAAAGGCTGGGGATGTGGTTCAGTGGTTAAGATCCTCTGGGTTCAATCCCAGGTACCAAAATTAAAAAATAAGTTTGGGCTTTCAGAGGTTAGAGGGTGTAGCTCAGTGGTAGAATACTTGACGAGCATGTGTAAGGAGGCCCTGGATCAATCCTCAACTCCTAAAAAAAAAATAATAATAATAACAGTTGGGCTTTCAGGTGATTTAAGAACTGAACAAGTTTTTTGGAAAGGAGAAGAAATGATAGGAGAAGCAAGAGAGAAAAGATGAGTTAACAGAAGGAAATGGATAGAAGAGAGATGAGGATAGAGACAGAAAAGAAGGCTATCAGAAGGGCCACTATTTATGGGACTTAGAAATAAGAACCTTTGCTGGTACAAGAGAGAAGAGGGAACAAGTGCCAAACTCCAGGGACACCTAGTAATTCAAATCACCAAAATGGTGGTTAGTCAAAGTTATTCAAACTGGGTCACTTCTGAGCTGGCAGTAGGGATTCGGTCCCAGGAACCCAGGGTTCTAAACAGGGGAGCCAGCAGGAATCAAAAAGGCCCTGGCTAACAATAAAACCAATCCAGATGTGGCTGTGTGCAAAAAACCTCCTGCACGCCTGGGGCCTTGCGTAGTTTCCATGTGTCTGATTCGGCCCCTGGCCTCAGCTCCTGGCCCCAGCAGTCCACGCACATTTCTTGCTCTGTCATGCATTACTTACCAGCAGATGCTGAGGTTACTGATGCCTGCCACACAGAGGAAACAGGTCTGCTTATTAAATTACTAAATCCTGTTAGAAAAGAGGGCAACTTACTCCTAATAGAATTTTTATGTTTCTCCTGATCCTCAATGACTCCAATGAGATGTTTAAATCTCCATTGTGTAGCCACGGATAGATTCTCCAGCCAGTTTACATTCCTTTCACCAGCAGAACCCTCAAACATAGCTGTGTCCCCTGGGAAAGAATTTTGCTTTCTTAGTATAACAGAGTCCTTCTAATTTGTTTAAAATCTTCTGGGCTGCTGAGTGTGGGGCAGCACACTGCTTTAAAGAAGGGGATGCGTGTGCGTGGAGAGGTTGTTCTCTGAAGCAATCATCGTCAAGAGGGTCTGCCGTATTAGAGTTCATACCATCCCACTCCTCCCTCCTTCCTCTCCACATACATAACAAATTGTAGAGACTAATTTGTCTGTGCAAAGAGGCTGACAAACTCCTGCTCCGTGGCCTCATGCTGCCACCTCTGCAACAATCTCTCCTGCCGCTGGAAGTCCCTCCCTCGTTCACCACCAGGCAGTCAATGCTGCACTGTTGGACACGGAGGATTAGTTAGGCTGGGAAAGAATGTGCAAAGTGTCTCACTGCATTTAAAGTACCAGCAGGTCATGTAAAGGAGAAACTCAGGAAGTAAGAGCTAAATTGGATGAGTACACCAGACTGCAGGTGCTTTCTGGAATATATATTTCATCGACTACTTAGCTTTGCTTTTGTCACACCACTCTTATTCTTTGGAGTGCTGAAGCAAATTAGTTTATAGGTTTTTTTTTTTTTTCTTCTTTTAGTTCGAAGCATCTCTTCTTACTCTGGTACAGTCCCTGGCAGACTGAGATGCAACAAGAGGTGAATCGTGTATCACCTTCACATCTCTTCTAGAATTACATCTGTCAAGAGCCCCAGTGTGCAGTAGAGATAGGAACCAAAAAGCAGAGGACAGAAGAGGAGAGAGGGAGAGTACTAGGGGCCAGGGAAGAAGAGAGCTGGTTAGTTTGCAGTCTGTTTTCCTTCTTCTTCCTCCTCCTTGAATCCCTCCTTTCTATTTATAAATCGTATCAGAGGAAAAATCAGACTTTAAAGACAGTTGACTTATATTTATTGATGGTGTTGATTTAAATGCAATTTGTCTGAGCTTTTTGACCAATTACCATACCCGCATTCACCATAGATGAAAGCCAACCTTGGCATTCTCAACAGACACATAAATTGGATAAGAATGAGGCAGACACACCCTGCTCAGCTCCCAAGTATCAGCCATATTATATCCACGGTTTGTGGTCTTCACAAGTTTTGAACAGCAGAGGAGTTGGCAATGTGTGGAAATAATTGGAAATGTGAGATATAGTCCTACAAGATGATGATGGCCCACACAGCTATCTGCTGATGTGGAAGGCCACATCAATGTGGGTGTGCAGGTAGACTTGGCTTTGACCTTCCTGATCTCTACTAGGCATTTAGAAGTATGGTCCAAGTTGGGCATGGTGGCGTAACCTGTAATCCCAGCCACTCAGGAGACTGAGGCAGGCAATACAAGTTGGAGGCCAGCCTCAGCACTTAGCAAGACCCTGTTTCAAAATAAAATAAAATAAAAAGGGCCAGGGATGTAGCTCTGTGGTAGAGCACCTCTGGATTTAATCTCCAGTACCACAAATAAATAAATTAATTAAATTAAATAAATCGCCATTCAACGATATATATCTCAGGTATTCAGGGAGAGGAATAGGAACTCTTCCAAAACAAATAAAACAGTTTCAAAGGCCTGGCCCACATCCCAAGGTCCTTAAGAAGACACTAAATATTTTTTTTAATAAAATCAGCATACTATAGTAATGCAGCCATGTCAATGTTTATAGCAGCTCAATTCACAATAGCTAAACTATGCAACCAACCTAAGTGTCCCTCAATACATGAATTAATAAAGAAAATGTGGTAGATATACTCAATGGAATATTACTCAGCTTTAAAGAAGAGTGAAATTATGGCATTTGCCAGTAAATGGATGGAGTTGGAGAATATCATGCTAAGCAAAATAAGCCAATCCCACAAAACCTGAATGCTTTCTCTAATATGTGGATGCTAATTCACAGTAAGGTGGGGGGCACTAGGGAAGAATAGCATTACCTTAGATTAGGTAGAGGGAAGTGATGGGAGAGGAGAGAGGGGATGTGGGAATAGGAAAGACAGTAGAATGAAATAGACATTATTGCTGTATGTATATATGTAACTACATGACCAATATGATTCTGCAACATGTACACTCAGAAAAATGAGAAATTATATCCCATCTATGAATGGTATATCAAAGTGCATAAATGCATTCTACTGTCATGTATAACTAATTAAAACAAATAAAAAATTTAAAAAAATTTTTCCCACCTATCCCCTTGGTGTTTTTCTTTTTCCAAAGACAGTCTTATTCTTGAACCACTCCCACTAATTAGGGGGAAAAAAATCTTTCACCCTCCCTTCCTCTCTGGTTTCTGTGAATTCCAGACTCCTTGGGATCTCTGGTTCTAACTGCTCAGAACACATTTATGACAAAAACAAAGCAAAACATCAGGGAAGGCGGAGTGGGGGGGGGGGTGGCAGATCCATTTCTATAACAAAGGAGGCCCAAAAGGGCAAAGGGGAAAAATAAATTGCAGAAGGCACAGTTGTGGCAGCATCTTATTACAACTTCCAGCTGATCGGGTGTAGCCCAACTAGAGACATCTGTTGGGAGTTTACAACAGAAACAAACGCACAGGAAAAAATGAAAACCCTATAACACACACCCAGACCAAGCTCTCTAACAGCCCCTCTGCCTTGCCCTCCATACCATTCCCACTGGGCCAGGCTGGGTTGTAGAGGGGAAGGAAAAGGGCTCTGCAAGCCGCTACCCACCCCCACCCCACCTGCACATGACTCATTCACACATGATTGGAACTTACAACTTTTCTCTCTACTTGGTTTTCCTCCCAGGAAAAGCAGAGACTGCCCCACTCCTCGGAGAGCCCATGGCAACTTCCTTTAGGTCTGGAATTCATTTCTAAAACTCCTTGACTGTAAGGGAATAGATCAGGCAGTATCCTTATTCTTGATCATTAAGACAACCCACAGAAGAGGTGGCAAAACCTTAGCAGACCTTGTCACTCCTCCACACATAGCCTCTCAGGTCTGAAAGTGGGAAATGGAGCTCACCCTGACCTCTCCGAAAATTAGCTCAAAAAGGTGAGGGAAAGCCCATGCTCAAACAATTTAAATGAAGAATATGGAACACTGTTGGGTCCCAGACACAGCACTGAGAGTTGTGTCGTCCAGAAAGGCCCAAGACCATGCACAACTTAGATCCGAGCACCCCCTGTAGCAGTTCCAGATGCTCACCTGTTCTGTTAAATTTTCCTATTTATTCTCTTCCCCATGGCATGCCAACAGAACCAGAGCAGTGCTACTCAAAAAATAACAAAATGTTTTATACACATTTCCATATATACAACTGAACAACATTTTACATGTTTCTTTTGCACAGCAAAAGTTATAAACATTCAGCTCTGAGAACACAGTTATGTACAAAAAATGTCAAAAATACTTCACAACAGTGCAAAAATATTTTACACAGCATCATGGAGTGAGATATTTGGGCCAGGAGGAAGGTGTATGTGACTCTAAAGGAGAACTCTTTTTTTAGATATTAGATGTCTTTAACTGTAAACAAAATGCCGCTTTCTTTCATAACACCCCCCCCCCCAATAGTTATTTGAGGAATTTGGCAGAATTTCAAGAGTCTGAGTCTGAGGTAAACAGCCCAAGCTCTCTCACCAAAAAGAACTGGGTGCAAAAGAGTGGTATTTAAACCTTAAACATTGTGAGAGAGATTTTTTTTTTTTTTTTTTTTTTTAATGATATCTCAATGACAGGGCAAGGCCTCGCCCAGTGAGGGGTTGAGGGAGGAAGTTAACCCCTCCTCCTCAGGCCCCAGCTGCTTAGCAAACAGGAAACTGGCGGACAGCACCTCACACTGCCCTCCTGGACTATTTGAACTTCAGGGGCCCTTCTCTTCACCACCACCAAGAAGACTACCCCTTTCTCCTCCGTAGGGTTTTCTCTTTCACATCTCCCACATCCCCACTCGCAACCAGAGCCGCCTCCAAAAGAGCAAAAAGTGTTAGGGCGCGGGGTGGATGGGGAGGACCATAGGGAACCCAGGACCAGGGCCCCACGTGCCCGATTTCCCTTGGATGCAGGCGGGAATAGGGAGATTGCTAGAACGACGGTTGGGGAGCCACTGTGGGGTGCCAGGGGAGCACCGAGGAGTCTGCTGGGAGCTCAACCCGAGTGGGGCTCGTCCGGGCTGGAGCTGTCTGCGGAACCAGACTTGTTCCCAGCAGTGGTGGAGGTTGCGTCCGGGCCTCCGCCCTCGAGGGAGCTCTCACTGCCAGTGCTCTCGCCCGACAGCAGGCGCGTCACCCTCAAGTCTGCCTGCAGGGTGCGCACATCGTTGCCGAAACTGAGCTCTCCCAGGTCGTTAATAAGCTGCGACAGCTGAGCCTTCACGTCTGAGGCGCTGCACGACAGCGGAGGTGGAGTCCCCAGCCCAGGGCCCAGCGAGACGACGCCGCCCCCCAGCATCTCCTCGTGCCCATTCTCCATGGTGTCTAGCAAGTCCCCACATTCGAAGTGCATGGCCACCACCAGTGCCCTCTGTGCCTCGGTCTCCTCTTCTGCTGGGCCCTCCACCCCCACACGATTCTCCTCCTCCTCCTCCTCCTCCTCTTCCTCCAGGCAGCCCTCGGGGTGCTCCTCTTCCTCTTCCTCCTGTAGCTCCTGCTCCTGCTGTTCGCCCAGCAGGTCCTCGGTGATGGAGCCGAGCTTGGGCGCGCTGCGGCTCCGCTCCACCGGCGGCTTATAGCAGCAAGATCCGTGCAGGAGCAGTTTGCGCAGGGGCACTAGCGGGATAGTGTGCGCACCCACCAGCTCCTGCTGCTGGTGACGCGCGTCGTCCCGCCGCTTGAGGCGTTTAAATTCCGCCAAAGCGTTGGCCGAAGTCTGGTAGAGCAGCAGGGCCATGGCCTGCGCCTTCTCCGGCTTAGACACCAGAACGGCATGGCAGCGCAGCATTACCGCCTTGTGCTTCAGCTCATGCCGGTACACCCAGGCGAAGACCTTGGGTAGCCGCGCGTCTGCCACGCAGTAGGTGACGCGGTGCAGCAGGTAGAGGTGGCCCGGGCGGCGCAGCGCGCGCTCTTCAGCGTGCACCATACGGATACCTTGCGCACTCACCGTGAGCTTCATCTTGGTACCCTGACGGCCCGCCTCGCTTTTACTCCAGATCTTACCCACGGCTAGGTCGGTGCAGCCGTCGCCGCGCGCCTGAATGGTGGTGGCATTGCCCAGGTAGAGCACGGTGTATGTGGGGTCCTCGCTGGTAATGTGCAGCTTCTTGCGCTTGGAGCGGAACATGCTTCCCACCCGACTGAGCGCGCCTTCGGGGCACGCTCTCGCTAGCGAGCTGAGCGCTGAGTAGTGCAGGCTCACAGCGTAGCCTTTGGGTTTGGACGTCTGCCGCGGCGGCGCTTCGGCCAGCAGCTCGAACTTGTGCTTCTTCCAGGGCAGCATCTCTGGAGGGCACCCGGGCGCAGCTGGGCGGCGGCGGCCGAGCCCCGGGTCTGAACCCAGCTGAGCCACCAGCCCCGGCCGGGCTTGGCCCGGGCAAGACCGAAAGATAAAACTGCTGGGAGCCGGCCAGTGGTAGGAAGAGGGGGGGCAGGGAAGAACGGATAGTGCTTGGGATCCCCGCAGGGGGTGGGGAAGAATTGTTAAAGGAAAATATTCAGCTTCGAGTTTGTAAGGGGTGGAGGCGCACACACAGAGAATTACCCCAGCCTGGTCAAGGACGAGGGCAAAAAGTCTCAGGCAAGCAACACAACGAGAGAAAAGGGAAGGAGAGTGGAGCGGAAAATGTCAGAAGAAAAGCGAGATGCGCGCATACAAATAAATAGAGGGAGCCTCGGCAAAAGCAACGGGGTGGTGCGGGGATCTGCAGGAACTCCGGCCAACGTGAACAGGGCCCCCTGCCACACACACACAAACCCCGGGCCTGGGGCCAGAAGCCGCGGAAACTCTTCAGCAGTTTGCCCAGGGTCCAGGGCTCCCCACCTACTAGGGGTGCTGGAGACCGAGAACCCCTCAGCTGAGCAAGTCCTGGAATCAGTAGCGAGCCCAAAGTGTGGTTAGATGATAGGTCCGGCTGGCCGCGGCGGGCCCCGCGCAGCAGTCCCGCGGTGGCTCACTGCATCTTCGCTCCAGCGGGATGCCGGGGACTCACGCTCCGCCAGCTCACTGTCCAGACCAGCTCCACCACCGCAGCATTGGGCTCCAAGGTCGGGGCGCACGCATGGTCGGCTTCGGGGATCGCCGCTACCTCATTTCTTCTCTCCGAGGATTGTCCAACTCCACTCCCGGGCTCTCCACGGTCGGCTGCCGGTCTTTGCAGCGCGCCCTCTTCAGTCCTGCAAGCGGTGGCAGGCTGCCCTCACATCATTGCCGTCAGGGAAGGAAGATCTCGGGTAAATATAGGCCGGCACGAACCATTCGCCGCGTAGGGACAGGGGAGGAGCAGAGAAGAGGATCAGTTTCGAGCTGCGACTCCCGACGGTTTTCTGGTCTCTTAAAGGGACAAGGTTGCACGCATTGGTCGAGAGAAAGAGAAGACAGATCCAATCTGGCAACTATGCCTCAAATTTAGCAGTATCCCATTTATATACAAAAACCACGAATAACTGGGGTTACCCCGCAGCAAAAGGAACTTGATCTCTCACACTCCACCCCCACGGTGAATTGCAACTCACTGAATAAATGTACGTCTAGATCGAAACTTCTGGGGGAGGTAGTGGAAGTGGAAATTGTGAACTATAATTTCCTGTGGAAATGGCTGGGAAAATAGTCCCCTTCCCCTTGTGAGACAGCTCTCTCAGAATCTCAAGGTGCCATTTAATATTATTTTCAGAATTAATAATTAATTAATAATAAAACAGAGAGGCAAAGACTTGTTTTTTTTACTTTCTTGGAGCCAGTTACTTACAGGTAAACAGCTGATAGTGAAGTGAGTGGTAGGATGACTAGAGCGAACAATATTGTATACAGTTAATAAATTAGGTGCTTCCTAACACCCTCCTCCAGCAATAACCCTTCCTGCCCTCAAAGTAGAGCAATTTTCTGAGATAGGTACAATTTTAAGTAATGCTGTATATGGTTAGACCTCAGTTTACTTTGGCAGGCCTGTCATTCAGTTTTATTATAGCATTGACACATTCTGAATGAGAATTCCTAGTAAAAATTCTAATGAGTGTTAAATATCCTCCAATGGGAGTGATGATTGCATCATTATTTTTCTCATTTGCCAACTGGACATTGTAGTTTTAGTCATCTGACCAGCTTGACCCTTGGCTAATAGTTCATTTCTAGGTCCTTGAAACAACCCACTTGCCTCTATGGTTTGTTCATCCAAAGCAAAAAACATCTTCTAGATGGAATGTGTGATAAATGTCCAGATGGTCCTGCAACAAACTCCCTGCCTCCTCATGGAGGCTGACAGTGGTCTCTCTTCTTAGGCTCAGGCCACTGGGGATCTTGGATTTTCATTTAAGAACCACTGAGGCTCCTGGAAATTCCCTGGCCCTACATTTGCTATCTTTTAACCTTTCTTTGAATTCTAACCCAGGTTTATCAGAGTCATGGGTATTGAATTACCTTTTGGTGACAGGTCCTGAGCTAGGAGTAGACCCAAATCCCATTCCCAAGAAGCTCCTGGTCCAAAGAAGGATGTAAATGCCACTAAACTCTGTCTGAGCTTCCCCTGCAAGGTAGGTTTTATGGTACCCTGTGTCCTCTGTGACTAGTACAAAGAGACAATAAATGTTTGTTGTTTTTATGAATGAGACATGCATGTGAATAAGAAGACAGAGTGATCTAAATGCCTTCAGAAAGACCGACATGCTCGGAGAAGCTATGATAAGAAAAGGTTCATTATGACAAGGAAAATCAGAAAAGACTCCATGGAGGTGGTGATGTTTGAAAGATGAACAGGATTTCTCAAAATAACAAAGGATTGGAGGTCTTTCTGGGTATACAAGATGGCAAAATTATAGAAGTATGTAAAAGCATGTACATGTGCAGAGTAGGATGGAATTCAATGACTGTAACAATGAAAGAAAAACTTTCCTCATAATGCTTTTTGGGCCCTCTTATTCTCTGTACTCTTGGAAGGAAGGAATGGCCTTCTCACACCAGCTGGCCCTATGACCTTCTACCAGAGCCATCATGCCTTACTCCTCAGCTGCCCTGATGGGTTAATGGAAGGATGCCAGACATGGCACCGGAATGAGGTGGGACTGTTATACACCATTAAACCAACATTAATTTCTCTTCTCTCGGATTTCTGAAATATCTTGCAGTGTCAGTGAAGTAGACAGTAACTTTTCCAAAGTGAAAAAAATTTCTGAAAGAAACACATCAAATTAACCTGTGCTAAGTGATCTTTAGCTGGTCTATAATCTTGAAATCAAAACTCCACAAAAGCAGACATTGTACTTAAGTGGTAGGCATTTCTAACTGTCTCAGAGGACCAAGGGCCAGAAGGTTCTGGAAGGGGAAAAGAGGAGCAGTAGTGAAATTTAAGGCTGATTTCATTCTCTGCAGGAGGCACCACTGTGGGATTTATATGATTAAAAAGACAGAGCAGGGAATTACAGTGGCAGGGAGGCATCCACAGGCCAACTGGGCCAGTCCCAGATGTACAGGTCCACAGAGATGTTCCTGGTGACTAGATCATGTCCTGCCTCAACTGCCTTTTTAATACAAGAGAGGTTATTAACCTCGGAAGAACAGAAAGGTTCTAGGCAAATGTGTGAGTTATGCCTTCTACCTGTGCTCCAAGACCCAGGAGGGAAACGGGACAGGCTCCTCCTGGCCTGAGCCTGGACCAACCAACCTCTGGAGCCTACCTTATCTTGTGAAGAAGCTGGCCACCCCCATTCCACTGAAGACATAAGTCACAACTGAAGCTGCGTTTCCTCAGCTGGGAAAGCTGAGGGCACTGTTTATGAGATCTGAGACACAGGGCTCTTCCAGAACTGAAACACAGCAAAGTCAGGTGAGAAATGGGTCAGACTGCAGACTGTACTTCTTGTGAAACTGCCCCATCTACTGGTGACAGGCAGAAGTACCAGTTGATGGGAAAGTTTCTCATAAAACTGTGCAAGCCAGTATTTGAATCAATGCACCTACCGCCACGTCACAGCTGGAAGGAAATGCTGCCACAAGGAGTCCCAGACCACAGTTTGGCATTGAAGAGTCAGCTTTTTATCTCACAAAAGGCTTTTGGACCCACTTTCTGCCACTTTAAGTGGTGCTGTATGCTTCTCCCCCAACATCCTATAGAATGGACATTGACTTCAGAGCTGACAAATGACAAATCTGGAAATTTCAAAGTCGTTCAACAAATATTTGTTGAGAATCTACAGGGAATGTTGATGTCGTTTCTGAGAATAGAACTGTAAAGAAGACAGAGATGTTTGCCTTCATGGGATTTATAGCCCATAGGGAGGCAGAGAATCAACAAACAACTAATAAAATATCAGATGGTGATAAGGTGAAAGGAAACAGTGCTAAGGATGGAAGGCGGCTGGTTTAGAAGTGTAGTCTGGAAGGTGTCTCTCTGGGCAGAGCTCTAGAAGAGCCTGAGCCAGGCGCACAGAGACAGGGGAAAGTGCTCTGGCCTGTGCTGGCCAGTGGGGTCATCACAGTGATGGTGACAGATAAACTTCACTCTAAGTACTCCAGAGTCTCAGAAGGAAAAAGAAGGTCTAGCAAACAGTGAAGAGACCAGAGACCCCTTTGTGGCAGGATGTACTTCATGCTAAGCATTGAAAGCTGGTTGGGGGGGGGGGGCAGATTGCTGTTGCCAGATGGGAGAAAGAAGCCCAGAGAGAGAAAACTGCTCCTGCAGAAAGTAGTTCATATGGAACACTAAATGACAGGGCAAAATCAGGAAACTCAAGTGTACTAAGCACCTGCATATGTCAGACGCTGTGCCAAGTGAGGTGTGCGCCAATCTCTTCCTTTTACAGAGAGAAAGGAGTAGGCATGGGGGAGTTGAATAACTTACCCAAGGTCCCCAAAGCACCATTCTTTTTTGTGCTTCGGTCTGGCAGAGGCCTGCCTCCCTAGCACCTTGAGTGGCAGGTGAAGGCTTTTTCCACACTGGGGGGCACTAGAGCAGCTGGAGCAGGGAAGCACTGGGATCAGAGGCAAAGCTCTAAGCAGCCCTAACACACTGGGGGTCCCAGAACAGGCTGCTGCCCCCTCTCAGGGCATTTGCTTCCCTGTGAGCTGTGCAAATTCCTTTTAGTTCTAAAGATTGCAGCAAGCTCTGTTCATTTCCTGGGACTTCCATAACTAATTACCTTGAAGAGGGGGGGCTTAAAACCACAGAACTGTGTCCTCTCACAGGAAGAACCTCCCTGCTTCTTCCCAGAGCCCCGTGATTGCCTGTAGTTCTGGACATTCCTTGGCTTATAGACATTTCCCCGTGGGCTCTGCCTCCATGTTCATGTGGTGTTCTCCCTATGTTCTGTTTTTTTCAAATTTGCCTCTTCTAAGGACAGGGGTCGTGGCATGAGGCACCACTCTAATCACAGTAATCTCTTCTTTCCTTGATTACATCTATAACACTTATTCAAATAAGATCACACCAACAGCCCTGGGGGTTAGGACTTCTCTTTTTGAGGGATACCACTCAACTCAAAACAGGGGCTATGGCAGGAAACTGCAGGAGTCAAGGAGGAACAAGGTTAGAAGTCCACAATCTCCTATCCTTACTCCTATCCTTGGTATGCACCCCCGGAAATGCGCTTGCTGTGCCCCTTACAGTGGAGCCTCTCCTTTTCTGGGCTGCTTGCTCAGAATGTTTGCCACAAGGACAAAGGCAAAATGCAGAAATGCAAAGGCACAGAAGGAAACCAAAAGAAGGGAAGCCACAAGCCTATGAGAGCCTTCTCATCACTGCCACCAAAGGGGCCAGGAAACAACTAGAGGAGTTTGTCCCCTCTGAAGGTAGAGGGAGGAAAAATCATTACCTCTGCATGGTTAGCTTTAAAGCAGAAACCCTGTGGCTTTTATTTATAAAGTGTTTATTTTTGACATTTCCATTTGTGACAATGGTAACTGATGATGAATGCATCTTCTACATGGTGGTTCACAGAACCCTCAACCCTCTCATGACAGAAAGGGCAAGGTGTAGTCTTCTCCTTGAGTTGCATGATAAAGGCACTGGCCTGCTCTTGCCAACCTAGGCACCCTTTGTGAGGCTGTCAGTATTGTCCCTGCTGTTTCAGATACCTGGGTGAAAGGCAGGGTAGCGTGAAGAAGAAGGGGAGGTATCAGGGTCAAGGGTCTTGCAGAGCACCTCAATGGTCATCCATCCAACACCCACTCTCTTGCATTAACCTCCCTTAGAACATCTTGACACCTGGTTAG